AACGATTAAAATGAATACCATCGGCAACAGGGCATAGAGGCATTAGATGCCATCCATAGGTTAACATGAAGAGAATAGTTTCTGTATATTTTTACCCCAAAATGCGTAGTGTTGGTCCAGTCATGAGGAAGCATGGGACAAACTCGAACCAAGAAACCCTCTACAAGACGACTGGTTCCCAATCTTCCAAATAATCAGGCCATCAAGGCCAGAGAGAGACTAAGAAATATTCCAGATTGCAGGAGACTGGGTTACCTGAGAATGGGGAACGGGAGTATGGAGTTAAGTAAGACAGATCTGTTAATGGTTTACAAATACTACCACACATCTGTACACTGCTTCACACACAATCCACTCAGCATGAGTTACTATTCCTTTTCTTAGGTTCACTGATGAGTTTATTGGGCAACTGCCTATACCTGGGTGTCCTAAGGGGGACCTTGGCAGTGCCAGTGATGCACATTGGATTGTCACACATCCAAAACAATCATGGCTTCATGCGAGCACCTGGCATTCATGAAGTTCCAGCAACTTGTCAATCTAACACCAGCCATTCAAATATTTCCATTCCTCCTTGACCTTACTGAGAGTCACATGAACATTACAATACACTACGGGTCTCTTACTATGTAGGTGAATCAAAATCTGGAGACAGCTTGCAGAGATCTTCACTAACTTTCCAACTAATATTAGCCAAAATTAAATGGGTTGACTGTTGCCTCACACAACATTTCTTCACTGTGTTTATCAAATACTTAACGGGCACCTTCCCTTTACCAGGTCCTGCAAACGCACGAACAGCCCCTGCCCTTGGGTCCCTCCTAGTCTAGCAGCATAAACCATATATGGATGAAATAGAAAGTAGCAAGTCCAATGATAGGCCAGTATCAGGGTGTTATGGGGACAAATAAGAGGGGCAAATGCTGTGGGCTGGGGTAAGGAGCAGATGGGAAGGCGCCAGGAAGAATTTTCTGGAGGAAATGACGCCAACCACAAGTGGGACTGAAGACACTGCACAAAAGGTGGGCTCACGTGATCATGAGGTGGATGAACTGACCAAGGGCTCTCCTACTGTGGACGCTGATGGCCAACAGCATGACACCCACGTGTATGCTGCAGCAGGGTTTCACCGTGCTGTATTTGTAAAGTGTCTCTATGACAATACGGCAAATGTTCTCCCACATAAACAATTTATGAGGAATACCTGCTACTCAACTTCTGAAGTTCAGAGAGCTCAGGTGCATATGAAATAAGCCAAGATTTTGCCTCTGGCTGGGGAAAATATTAAACACTGGGGACATGATTTTGCCACCACACTATTCACTACCTTGAGGATGTGCCAAAGATTGAGAGCCTCACAAGACCTGTTGTTGCTTAAAAAAAGGTGGGGAGGGCAAACCTAAAAACAAGGCAAAAAAAAAATCAGAAGGGCAAAATAAATAATTTTAAAAACCCACCACTAATAATTGGTGACAAATTAGACAGGGTTAAAGCAGAAGAAACATTTTAAAACATTATGTAATTTGTCCCTGGTACAGTGTGTTCAAGACACTTTGAGCAGAGGCTCCCAAGAAAGGCAGTTTAGGATATCAGCAAAGGAAAAGATAACTGTCAGAAGCCAAGCAGCGCAAGCCCAAGCGGGTGAGAATCAGCACTGATCAACCCGCTGTGGATCTCTATACCTTCCAATTCCTTATTTTCCAGTCAGCTTGGCGGTGTTGATTTGATTATCTACAGTTCAGCTGTTCAGGTTACAGGGAAAGCTAATAAAAATTTTAAAAAGTATTATACCCTAGTGTTATACAGAAAAGTCTCATTAGAATTAAAAAAAAAAAAAAAAAAAGCGATGACACCGAACTCTTTAGATTATCAAATAAAACTGGTTTGTCAATTGCTATCAGAAATGTCAATGCAGGGTACTTCAAACGTTTCTTTTTCTGCATTCACCCCTTCTCCATCACTTTAAAAACTACTAGCTCAAATAAAGGAAATGGCAGATGAGCAAAGATGGTTGCGTTATGTGGTTTTAATCATGTATTTGTGGTGCCCAATTAACTAAAGCTTTTTTTTTTTTTGAGTTTTGCTCTTGTTACCCAGGCTGGAGTGCAATGGCGCGATCTCGGCTCACTGCAACCTCCGCCTCCTGGGTTCAGGCAATTCTCCTGCCTCAGCCTGCTGAGTAGCTGGGATTACAGGCACGCGCCACCATGCCCAGCTAATTTTTGTATTTTTAGTAGAGACGGGGTTTCACCATGTTGACCAGGATGGTCTCGATCTCTTGACCTCGTGATCCACCTGCCTCGGCCTCCCAAAGTGCAACTGAGGCTTTAATACAACCTTAATTCTATAAGCAACCTGGAACAGGGGAAAATTAAATCTCTCATAACTCGTTAAGTGGCTATTCACATTACCCAAATCGGAGGATTTTAGCTTGACTTTCACAAATGTAAACGCTGCAAATGGTTATTACCAAAGTATACAACACACCACTGAGACCGACTCAAAGCAAAATACAGTACAAATTTATTGACTCCAATTGTTCTTAGTAAACATTTAAGCAAAGTAGACAACAGAATTGATTACAAATAAGCAATGGATTAACATTAGATAGAAATCCTATTTTACCATGACTTTTCAGTTCAAAAAAGCTTATTCCTAAGTAAAACTGAAAAATGACTTACTCTGCTAAGGCATATGACAAAGTATACAGAATTATGAAACGATTCATTTGTTTTTCTTTTAACCATAAGCATATATTCAATGGAAAACTTGAAATAGCCTTGGACTAATGTTGAAAATCAGTATTAACTGAGTATAACTGTGTGAAAAATCTGGACAGCACTAACAAATGATGAAAGAGCACTGAATTGTGTTACTTTAAAGATTTACAGTAAAATACTTTGGTTCCCAAAAGTATTATAAAAGGAACTTTTGAAAACACCTGACATTGGTAACTCATGTTCTTCTTCTCCAGAATCTAAATACCGACTTCGTTCTCTCCCCAGTCACATGGAAATGCCGTAAGCTGCGGTGCCCGCTGAGCCGCGCTGAAAGGGCCTATTTAAAATTACAACAACCTTAAACGTCTTAAAGTGCTGAAGCCAGGAAAGCCGCAGGTGAAAACCTATTTTTAAAACTTAAGCTTTAGTCAGTGTTAAAAACACTTCAGAAGAATGTGTTAGCATTATCTAAACTAATAATGCATTCCACAATTATGGCAGAGACGTCACTGAGACGTCGTAAATGGACAAACTGACTTGTAATCCAGTTAATTGGATAAAATTTATACAGAAATGTATTTGGAATTATACCTAATTACTTTTTACTAAGAAACTTCAAATAATTTTACTTCGTAAAGTTCCAGATTACAGTTGTATACACACACGCATGCACGTGTGCGCAAATCCAACTGGAGGGGATAAAGGCCCAGTTTGGATCTGTCCATTCTTACATCTCTCCCTCACCCTGATCAGAGTCGGCCTTGTAGATGCAATTGCACTGCGCCTCAGCGAACGGACACATCTTATTCCTGTCTCACAGCAGCTACTCTCGTTAGCACCGATGGAGCTACATACGGATTTAAAAGGTCACGAAGTGCCGGGGCATACTTTTACAGGCCAGGCTATAAACATTCCATTCCAAACCAGAAAACCAAGAACATCATACGCCTCCCCACAAATGCAAAGAACATCACTGTTGAATGGTTAATTTTTGGTAAAATTATAAATGCCTACTAACTAGTTTTAAAGGTGAATATTCTATAAATCTTGAAGTATTACTATTAAAATGCACAATATTTGTTACCTCCATTGCTTACTTTGAGTGATAAAAACATGTTTTATGTTATTCCCTCGTTCTCCCACATAAAGAAAGTGATTCAATATCAAGTTCTTAGATTAACAAAGAATATATTAAAACATTTTACATTCTTTCCACAACTGCATAAAAAAGCAGGCATCCTGCATACTTACATGGAATGAGCTCTCTACATTTTCAAAATTAATTACAATCTTAAAGATATTTACATGAATATCTTCACTAGCTAATGAGTTGCAACAATTTAAGACCAACTTGTTTTACACCAAATATTTGCCTACTGGCTGAGATAAACATTCTTAAAAAACTTTACTGAATAAAGTAATTAACATCTTTCATTATTTTACTTCTTAACATTTAAAATAGTTATGAGTGGAAGCATATTTTTTGACCATCAAAATAAACTCTTTCAGCCTAATGCTTTTAAAGTACAGTATAAAAAGTAATAGAAAAACCAGAACTGCATTATAAATGCTTTTGGTTCAAAATTTTCTTTGAAATCTTATATTCCTTGCCTAGACAAAAATGTGAAGACAAAACACCAGTAATTTTTAAAATCTAAGATATGCAGAACCTATGTTTAGATCAAAAATATTTTTTTTTACTGATTAACAATATTATTTGTAAAAAATTTTTGAAAATGTAGCATAAAGGTTCAAGTCCTGGGATACTAAATTTACAATGCCAAGATACTTTGTACCATGGAATTATCACCGATAGATACTCTAAGGGCCATGTAGGTGACGAGTACTCAGGGAAACTCTCTTCTTTTGAAGAAGTGACAGCTACCAACAGGATCAGAGTAAGAAATACCACATTATATAGGGAATGAATTCAATGTACAATAATCCTTCCTAATGTTTCATGTAAAGCCATATGCTTTAACCTTTAAAATGCATAGATTTCCTTAAGAAAACAAAGATGGCAAGAATCAGTAACTTTATTTTCCCTTCTCCATCGAATTTAAGAATATGAAGATTGGAGATTTTTCAAGTGAAAGAATGCAGGCAAAATTTCATATGTAGTATCTATAAAATCAATCAGTATTTTATAAAAATGTCTGGTTCAATAAGAAATGAGAGTATCTTTCCTACCACTGGTATGAAATGTTGGTAATGAGACTGATGGGTACAGAGTTATCTTCCTAGAGCACAAATTTAAAATTATTTAATGATAATTTACTTTTTTTAATTTGAAAGAATAGGCTGTAACACAAACTCAAGAGTCTAAATTGGTATTACTTTCTTAAAAGGATTTTGTAGTTTCATTTTTTTATACATCTAACTCCCACCTACACAAGTAAAAATTTTCCCTTTAGAAACACCACGTTGAACTTTGGATAACCTACTGAAAGGCTTTCAACGACAAATTTTTACATAGTATTCTTAGAAAAGCACAAACCCCACGGACCAAAATAAGTAGCTAAAACTAATTTTGGACCACTGATAGGGCTTGAACACCTATTTTTGAAATACTGAGCAATGATGTAGAGAACAGCCTTGCCAATGATTTTAACCACCGAACTCCCAACAAATTCTAAAAGAAATTGTCGAAAAAGACAGAGAGGCAGAAAAATGTGTATGTCGTATATATTGTTTTTGAGAAGCATTTTGAAACTGCAGTTTCCTGAATCCTCTGCTCTGAATTCTCTGGAAATGGTAATTTATTATTTTAGATCAGCTGTGCTAACTCTTGAGTCTGCGATCTATTTAAATGTATGTCCCCATCTCATCTGTTATACTAACGTTAAAATCAAAATTCGTGTCCTATGTTAGCTTTGTTTTTTGTCCTAACTACACTCAGATTTTCAATTTGTGACAGCATAAATCAGAGGAAATGAAACATTTGCAGTCCTTCAAATGCTGGTCTGAATTTAGATTGTGGTGCAGCGTACGTATAACATGGTACAAGTTTTTATTACAATGTCTATCACTACTGAAGCCCTTATAAACTTGCTGTAGGGAACTTCCATAAATTATGTTTTCATTTCCCAGGTCTTTCATAGAGTTTAACTATCGTTTATTATATTAAGTGAGATGAAGTTTTTGTTTATAAATATCTAAGTGTTACTATTGCTGATTTAAATTTCTCACAACTTTCATACAAAAGGAAGTTCTACATGACCACAAAATACCAAATATTTATTTTCATCAAGTGTCAGGATAACATTGAAGTTGAAATTTATTTTTTTATTGCTAAAGTTGTCTAAGATCTAAATCAATACTGCAAACTACTCCACTTCTTCCTGATATATTTTGGACTTAAGAACATGGTTAAGATTTAACTAGAACTCAAGTGTCTAAAATAATCAAAAGAAGAAATACTTTGACAGTATTCCACTAATTACAAATCAGTAAAAAACCAAAACCTCAATTAACGATGATACTGACACCATGGAATGAGGAGCCATGCACACAATCAAGACTAATCCAATTTCAACATTAATGAAATCAAACCATCTTGTTCTTGTAAGGTCCAGAACCACAATATTTTAAAAGGTGTTTTTCTAAAGTTGATTAAGAACATTACTAAGTAATTATCAATTTGCCTCAAACTTAATTTCAAGCATATCCATTTCCAACCTTTATTATTCTTGCAAAAAACATTTTGCTTCTTATGACACATTTCACAATTCGGGTTGAAATTTCCTAATACATAAAAAGTGTTGGTCTTTCAATTGTGTGTTTGTTCGTGACTCCAAAGACTAAACGCAGTCTTGAATGTCCTGTGGCAAAGTTTACACATAAACTGTCTTTTAAATGTGATTGCTGAAAGGGGTGGGGCATGGTAAAAAAGAGTGTCTGATTCTTGGGGCACAAACAATTTTTCTGTGGCTGGAGTTGGGTTTTCGGATAGGCTTGTGGGGCTGTCAGGCTCCAGGGGCTGGATCTTGGGCAGTGGTGGTGGCGGTGGCAGAGGTGGTGGAGAGGGAGAGTTTGTGGGAACAGGGCACACCTCAGATTCCTTATGTGCCGATTCCTCTGAAGCCTGAGACATATGTGACTGGAAGTGACTCCAGAGTCGAAAATTAGTACGAAAAGCTTTGTTGCACACATGACAAATGAATGGTTTCACAGAGCACAGAAGCTCCTGGTGACGCTCCAGCTGCTTGTGCACTGTGAACATCTTCCCACACTTCTCGCAGGGCCACAGGCTGGCTTCTTTGCTAGGACCTGCTTCCTTGGGGGCTGTGCTGGCCTCAGGTGCCTCTTCCTCAGCCTCCTCCACAGGCTCTTCCTTGACTTGAATTTTCAGTTGCTTGGAAAGACTAAGGTCTTCAGGGAGACAAGAGGAATCTTCCGAGTCAAAGTTAACTTGCTCTGAAGAATCACTGAACACATTGTCATCTTTTGTGGTGACAATGTGGTTTTTATTGGGTTCAGGCTGCGACTGGGGCCTTGAAGAACTGGTCACATCACCGTTGTGGTCCAAAACGGGCAAAGAAAAGTTTTCGGTGGGTGCCATGTTGTTCTGATTATGTACTTCAACCTGGTGCCGCCAGATGCTGAAAGAGGACTTGAAGGTTCGCATACACTCGAGGCAGGTCAGCTTCTTATACTCACACTTGCTCTCGTGTTCCTGCTTCAGCTCGGGTGAGAATAACCTGAGGTTGCAGTAACGGCAGATGGCCGAATTCCGGCATAGCCGCTCGTGGCTTCCTTGCTCTAGGAGAGAAGAGAGCTTAGCATTACAGAGGCGGCACTGGTAAACCTCCTTGTTTTCTACTGGACTTGCAAGAGGAGCATGCTCTTTTGGTTTAGCAACTTTATTTACTCCAAGGGGTTTTTCTCCTGGATGCATTTTTATGTGCTGCTTAAACTGGGAGAGAAAGCGGTACGCTTTTCCGCAGTAAGTACAAATGTAAGCTCCTTTGGCTCGAGATCTCAAGTTCCTCTTGATGACTTGCTGCGCTTGGGAGCTACTCTGTCCCTGAAAACCAGGCTTGCCACGCCTTAACTTAATGATCAGGGCCTTCTTAATTTCTCTCTCTCTCACTATGTCAATCAGCTTTCTTTGGAATTTTTCATCCAAAACAGCATGTGAACTAGAGGCTGGTGATGGGTTCTTCACTATGCCGTGTTGGGTCTGACAGTGTGTCCACACTTTGAAGTTGGTGTGAAACCTCTTGTGACAGATGTCACAAGCGTAGGGCTTTTCTGGGTTATGGTACATGTTAACGTGACGGTGAAGACCTGCTGTTGATCTAAAGATCTTAAGGCAATGTTTGCATTTAAATTTTTTGTTTGGTCTCGTCCCCTCCAACTCACCAAATTCATCTTTATTCAAATCAGAATCTGGAAAATCTGCATCAAGGAGAGTAGGGCTTGAGCCTTCCTCAAAATTATCTTCCGACACAGGAGGCCTGTGCTCATTCACCTTTAGCTTCTTAAATGGCAATCTTCGGTCCGCCTGGAACCTCCTTTTTGCTGGGAGTCTGCTCATGTCTTTTTGGTCATCTTCTGTTTTCAGAGACAGGTCTCTCGTGACCAGCGGCGACGAGGCAGCTGCTGTCGCTGCCGCATCTCCCACAGTGACGCGGATGATGTCCAGGGACTCCGCCAGCGGGCTGCTGGGCTCGGTCTTTATGCGCACCTCGGTCACAGGGGAGGCTCCCTCCCTGTCTGTTGACTGAGAAGCACTAAAAGACCTGAGGCGATGTGGTTGTAGCACTTGAGGCCTGTCATCTAGGGCTGTTTTTTCACTACAATCTTTTAAAGATGACTTTTGAGATAAAGCACACAACACATTCCCTGGTGCATCATTGGACACCGAAGATCCCTGGGAAGACTTCAAGTCTATGGAGGGTGAATACACAGGAACCTGGCTATCCATCGACAATGACCGTCTGAGAAGACTCTTAACAAGCGGGCCACTCCTGTCAATGCTTTGGTTTCCAGAACCAGATCCACTGGATGGGATCACTAAGCCTAACTTTGAATAGTACAACAAGTTTCTATCTTCACCTTGACCACTTCCTTTGTTAGTTTCTTTTAATAGATAGGGAGTCTCTGATGAGCTACAAAGAGACAAAACAGGTGGCCGTGGTCTCTTCAAAGCCAGCTCTAGAGCTTTTCCTTTTGGAAGCTGACCACTCACACCTGGCTTATCATCCACAGCTTCTCTGTCTTGCAGAGGCTTTGAAGGCAATACTGCATTTCTTTTCACCAAACTGATTCTATTAGGATCATCCAAAGATCCAGAAAGCTCAAGAGACTTTGCATATACCACAGAACTATCTTTCGGCCAACTCTTTTCAGTTAATGAAAAATTATGAAGTGGTTCAATTGGTTTGGGGACATGTGGCTTATTGGTATTAGCCTTGACTGCAATGCTAGGAGAGGGCCGGGGAGTATGGCTTACATCGGGTTGATTTTGACTAAAAGTTTTTCCTTGTGCTTCATTTCTACTTTGACAAACAATGACACTTCTCTTTTGAGAACTGTTTTCATCATCTTCTACAAACACTTTTTTTCTATTAGGACACGTTAGAAAGGGGGCTTGAGGTGTTTTAGAAACGATGTTAGTCAGAAAGGAAATCCCAAGACTATAGCCAAGTTCTTGCACAGCAGCAAGACTGCTCTTCTCAACAAACAAAGAGGAAGAATAAATGTAGTTTAAAACATTATCAAATGCATCTGGCTCACAGAAGTCAAGCTGAAATACAGTTTGTGACTCATTTTCCTTATTTGTGAATAAACTCTGAAAGTATTCGCTGCTGGCAGCCAAGACATTTTTATGAGCTCGGAACTTTTGGTCTCCAACAATCAGCAGCACATCACACAGCTGTCCTTTGAGACGTTCCTCATTCAGGGCACTTAGGAGAGAAATGGCGTGTGCTGGGTTGATATAATGCAGTAATCCCTCCATGGCTTGAATTTATCTAAAAGACAAAATGTAAAATTACTACAGATAATGCAGTGAAAAGTTCCCGATGGAATGAAGGGCTCCTCAAGAGCAGGAAACATCAGCTGTCTTTGCATAGGTGCTAATATTTAGCAGACCATAGGCTGACAGAAGCTTTATGAATGAACAATCTTATTTAAATAATGGTGAAAATGTAAAATAAGTCTTGTGGTTTAAGCAGGTCCTCATTAAAATGGAAGAACGGCAGGAACTACAGCATAGGTATTTGTATACCGTCAAAAAGGCTGCCAGAACTTGATGGGTGGATATGGAAGCCATATTTGAAAATAAAAGTTCATTATTTACGGTCCTTATCCATTTGATGCTTGTCTCTATTCCTTATAAATTCAGAAAACAAGTATGAATTATCAAAACCCCTAAAGTCAATAATTCTGAAAGAATCGGTTTTATTACTACATATACTCAAACATAATGTGCACTGTTAACAATTGGTTGCAAAGCAGGTCTTGAGACCCTTATCTTTTATTTTAATTTTGAGACAGGGTATGTCTCTGTCACCCAGGTTGGAGTGCAGTGGCGCCATGATGGCTCAATGCTGCCGTAACCTCCTGGGCTCAAGCAATCCTCCCACCTCAGCCTCCTGAGTAGCTAGAACCACAAGCACATGCCACCTTGCCTGGTGATATGGTTTGGTTGTATCCCCACCCAAATCTCCTCTTGAATTGTAGCTCCTACGCTACAATTCCTACATGTTTGGGAAGGACCAGGTGGTAGGTAACTGAATCACAGGGTGGGTCTTTCCCGTGCTGTTCTCATGATAGTAAGTCTCACGAGATCTGATGGTTTTACAGAGGAGTTCCCCTGCACAAGTTCTCTCTTGCCTGCTGCCATGTGAGATGTGACTTGCTCCTCCTTGCCTTCCACCATGATTATAAGGCCTCCCCAACAACGTGGAACTGTGAGTCCACTGAACCTCTTTTTCTTTGTATGTTATCCAGTCTTGGGTATGTTTTTATTAACAGCAAGAAAATGGACTAATACAGTAAATTGGTACCAGTAGACTGGGGTGCTATTGAAAAAATACCCAAAAATGTGGAAGTGACTTTGGAACTGGGTAACAGGTGGAGGCTGAAACAATTTAGAGGACTCAGAAGAAGACGGGAACATATGGGAAAGTTTGGAACTCCCTAGAGACTTGTTGAATGGCTTTGATCAAAACGCTGATAATGATATGAACAATGAAATCCAGGCCGAGGTGGTATCAGATGGAGAAGAGGAACTTGTTGGGAACCAGAGCAAAGGTCACTCTTGTTATGTTTTAGCCAAGAGACTGGCAGCATTTTGTCCTTGCCTTAAGAGATCTGTAGAACTTTTAACTTGAGAGAGATAATTTATGGTATCTGGCAGAAACTACTTCCAAGCGGCAAAGCATTCAAGAGGTGACTCAGATGCTGTTAGAGGCATTACATTTTATCAGGGAAGTACAGCATAAAAGTTTGGAGAAGTTGAAGCCTGACAGTGCGGACAGAAAAGAAAATCCCATTTTCTGAGGAGGAATTCAAGCTGACTGCATAAATTTGCATAAGTAAAGAGGAGCTGAAGGTTAATCACCAAGACAATGGGGAAAATATTTCCAGGGCACGCCAGAGACCTTTGCTGCTGCCCCTGCCATCACAGGCCCAGAAGCCTAAGAGGAAAAAAAGCCCAGGTACAGCTTGGGCTGTGGCTTCAGATGGTGTAAGCTCCAAGCCTTGGCAGCTTCCACGTGGTGCTGGGCCTGCAGGTGTGCAGAAGTCAAGAATTGAGGTTTGGGAATCTCCACCTAGATTTCAGAGGATGTATAAAAACATCCGGATGTCCAGGAAGAAGTTTGCTGCAGGGCTGTGTCCCCTCAGTGAAGGGCAGGGCCCTCATGGAAAACTTCTGTTAGGGCAGTGCAGAAGGGAAATGTGGGGCTGAAGCCCCACCCCCCCAGTCGCCACTGGGGCACTGCCCAGTGGAGCTGTGAGAAGAGAGCCACCATCCTCCAGACCCCAGAATAGTAGATCCACTGACAGCAGGCACGCACACACTCAACACCAGCCCATGAAAGCTGCCAAGAACGGGGCTTTACCTTGCAAAGCCACAAGGGTGGAGATGTCCAGGACTAAGGGAACCCGCTCTTACATCAGTGTAACCTGGATGTAAGACACAGAGTCAAGGGAGATCATTTTGGAGCTTTGAGATTTGATTGCCCCACTGGATTTTGGACTTGCATGGGGCCTGTAGCATCTTTGTTTTGGCCAATTTCTCCCATCTGGAATGGCTATAGTTACCCAATGCCTGTACCCCCACTGCATCTGGGAAGTAATTAACTTGGTTTTGACTTTGCAGGCTCACAGGCGAAGGGACTTGCTTTGTCTCAGATGAGACTTTGGATTGTGGACTTTTGAGTTAATGCTGAAATTAGTTAAGACTCTGGAGGGACTGCTGGGAATGCATGGTTGGTTTTGAAATGTGAGGATATGAGATTTGGAAGGGGCCAGGGGTGGAATGATATGGTTTGGCTGTGTCCCGAGCCAAATCTCATCTTGAATTGTAGCTCCCACAATTCCCCACATCTGGGAGGGACCCAGGGAAAGAACTGAATCATGGGGGCAGGTCTTTCCCATGCTGTTCTTGCGATAGTGAGTAAGTCTTAGGAGATCTGATCGTTTTATAAAGAGGAGTTCCCTGCACAAGTTCTCCCTTCCCTGCTGCCATGTGAGATGTGACTTGCTCCTTGTCTTCTGTCATGATTATAAGGCCTCCCTAGCCATGTGGAACTGTGAGTCCACTGAACCTCTTTTTTTTTGTAAGTTATCCAGTCTCAGGCATGTCTTTATTAGCATTGTGAAAATAAACTATTTTCTTTTTCTTTTTTTTAAAGAAATGGGACCTCACTATGTTGCCCAAACTGGTCTCCAACTCCTGGGCTCAAGAGATCCTCCAGCCACGGGCGGTGGCTCACACCTGTAATCCAAGCACTGTGGGAGGCTGAGGCAGGTGGATCACAGGGTCAGGAGATCAAGATCATCCTGGCCAACATGATGTTTCTGTTTCTACTGAAAAAATTAGCTGGGCGTGGTGGCACATGCCTATAATCCCAGCTACTCAAGAGGCTGAGGCAGAAGGATCACTTGAACCAAGGAGTCAGAAGTTGCAGTGAGCCGAGAATGTGCCACTGTACTACAGCCTGGCTATACAGCCAGACTCCGTCTCAAAAAAACAAAAACAAAAACAAAAAGAGATCCTCCCACTTCAGCCTCCCAAAATGTTGGGATTATAGGCATGAGCCACTGAGCTCAGCCAAGAGACCAAACAGATCACTTGAGGTCAGAAGTTCAAGACCAGCCTGGCCAAGATGGTGAAATCCCACCTCTACTAAAAATATAAAATTTAGCCAGGTTAGTGGCACGCACCTGTAATCCCAGCTACTTAGGAGGCTGAAGCATGAGAATCGCTTGAGCCTGTGAGGCAGAGGCTGTGGTGAACCAAAATTGAGCCACTGCACTCCAGCGACAGAGCAAGACTCTATTGCAAAAAAAAAAAAAAGATGAGAAGTATTAAAGAATAAAGGAAACTAGCCTGGCTCTAAATTTAATTAAAGAGTTTAAAGTGAGATAGAGGAGGCCTAGTGGCAGAGTACAAGCTCTCGGGCCAGACACGGGTTGAGATGCCAGCTCCTTGCATGCTGGCTGATGATGGTCCTTGGGTGTTTCTGTTAGCCTCTTCATGTGGCAGGTTCCTCACGTGAGATGGGAATGACAACTGTGCCCTCTTCTTGCAGGGTTGTTGCAAAGAGTTCATCTAAAGAAACCTAACAAATGTTGTGCAGTTAACTTTCAGAAATTGCAGGATTTAAAGGCATCTAATTCAGTATCAAAGGAACAAGGCAAATTAACCCGATTATACTCTCGATACAGACAGAGCCATTTCACGCAGAGACAATGCCTGGCTCCCTGCATTTGACCCTTCACTTAGGCTTCTGTTCCTCTAACACCTCATCCTTTTCATTTTTTTTTTTTAAGATGGGGTCTCGCTCTGTTGCCCAGGCTGGAGTGTAATGAATGGCTCAATCTTGGCTCACCGCAACCTCTGCCTCCCTGGTTCAAGCAATTCTCCGCCTCAGCCTTCTGAGTAGCTGGTATTACAGGCATGCACCATCATGCCCAGCTAATTTTTGTATTTTTAGTAGAGAGAGGGTTTCACCGTATTGGCTAGGCTGATCCTGAACTCCTAACCTCACATGATCTGCCCACCTTGGCCTCCCAAAGTGCTGGGATTACAGGCGTGAGCCCCCACGTCCAGCTCATTCCTTTTATTTTATAATGCCATATTTTCTTTCAAATATTGTTAAGACATTTATTTTCAAGTTTAAATGGATCCCACGTAACTAAGAATATTTGTGACAGTTTTATCTTTCCCTTCAGGGCAAACTATAGATGAACCAAACTTGACTCCAGCACATTTGTAGGTTCTCTTCTTGCCCTTCCTGGTTACCCCAGCTGCCAGGCTCATCAGAAGAACCCAGAGTCTCCTAGGCTGACAACCTGGGAGTGGCCACATGAGGGATAGAATTTCTTCTGACTCTCTAAGATGCAACTCAATTTAACAGATGCAGACACAGGACTGCGTCTACAGATGATGCCTTTTAGCCTGTCCGCAAACTACTGCTTTGCTCAGACTGTACCAAGTTTCTGTCCATTCCTGCCTACCATCCTTTCAAAGTAAATGTAAATTTTAATTCCTCTATTTGTTTTTTAAATTCATTTGTGAATGCTTGATAATTTCCCTTCCTTTTTCTTCTCTGTTAGTCATTTAAGTCTTCCTTAATCCTACTATACTTTCTTTACATCTATTTGTATAAAGAAACCCTTACTATCTTTTACAGAGGTCAGCAAAAAAATAACTTAGTGTATAATGTTACACATGATTGACTCAGCTGGGTACTGAGCATTTTTCAGCACTAATAATTTTTGACAAAGCTAGTTCAGA